GACTGCCAGGATTTCTCAAATATGGACAGTGGCTTAGCAACTTCATTCTCCAGCTCCTTCAGGACCCACAGATGGATTTCATCAGGTCCCATGGCTTGTGCACGTTCAGATTTTTAAAATGGTCTTGAACCAGTTCCTCTCCTACAGTGTGCCCAAGGTCTTCATTCTCACAGTCCCTGTGTCTGCCTTCCAAGACTTGGGTGATTTGGTCAGAGCCTTTGCCAGTGAAGACTGAGGCAAAGAAGTCATTCAGAGCCTCAGCCTTCTCCAAATTCTGTGTCACTAGTTCTCCCGAGAGCTTCCTGAGGGGGCCTACATTCTCCCTAGTCTGTTTTTTATTTGCTATGTACCTGTAGAATCCCTTCCTGTTATCTTTAATATCCCTAGCCAAGTTTAATTCTAACTGTGCCTTAGCTTTCCTAACCTGGTCCCTAGCTTCCTGGAAAACATCACTGTATTCTTCCTAGGCAGCCTGTCCTTGCTTCCACTTTTTATAAGCCTCTTTTTTCCTTATGATTTTCCTCAGCAGCTCCTTATCCATCCAAGGAGGTCTCCTGGCCCTCCTGCTGCACTTCCTTCTGGTTGGGATGCAACACTCCTGAGCTTGTAGCAGGTGATCCCTGAATATCAACCAAGTCTTGGGCCCCTCTGCCCTCTAGGGCTGTATCCTATGGAACCTTCCGAAGCAGGTTCCTGAAGAGGCCAAAGTCTGCTCTCTTGAAGTCCAGGGCAGTGAGCTTGCTGCACGCTCTTCTCACTGTCCTGAGGATCTCAAATTCGACCATCTCATGATCACTGCATCCAAGGCTGCACTGGAGCAGCCCAGCATTCCCAAACAGCCCCTCCCTGTTGGTGAGCATGAGGTCAAGCATGGCACCTCTCCTTGTTGGCTCCTCTATTACTTGCAGAAGGAAGTTGTCTTTCACACAATCGAGGAACCTCCTGGATTGCTTATGCCAGGCCGTACAGTCCTTCCAACAGATGTCAGGGTGGTTGAAGTCACCCATGAGAACAAGGGCCTGCGAGCGCGAGGCTTCTTTTCCTATCTGTCTATAGAGTGCTTCATCTGCAGGTTCTCCTTGATCATGCGGTCTGTAACAGATCCCCACAGTAATGTCTCCCATAGCTATATTCCCTTTAACCCTGGCCCACAAACTCTGTTAACTGCTCACCTGTCCCCAGACAGAGTTTCATACTCTCCAGCCTATCCCTAACATAAAGGGCAACTCCCCCTCCCCACCTGCCAGGCCTGTCTTTTCTAAAAAGCCTGTAACTTTCCATTCCAACACTTCAGTCGTAGGACCCATCCCACCATGTTTCTGCGATGCCTATTATATCATACCCCTCTAGACGTGCACATATCTCTAATTCCTCTTGTTTGTTTCCCATGCTATGGACATTTGTATAGGGGCATCTGAGCCGAGCTCCAACTGAAGCCGGCTCATTGGCTGGAGCGGCTGGGATATCTCTGCATTGCTCCAAGCATTTATTATAGGTTCTGGCAACTGACTGGGAGTGTTGGGATGGATCAATGCCCCGTTCCCCCAACACATCTAGTTTAAAGCCTCCTTGACCATTCTGGCAAGCCTCCTACCAAAACTGCTCTTTCCCTTCTTTATCAGAGCAGCTCCACCAGCCCCCACTAGACCTGGCCTACAACCTTGGGTCCTGTGTTCAAGACACCCAAACCCCTGACTATGACACCACCCTTTTAACCATTTATTAACCTGGCCAATCCTCCTAGCTTTTTTTGGGTCCTCCCCTGTATCCTGGAGGATTGACAAAAAGACTATCTGAGCTCCAGAGCCCCTAACCACCTCTCCCAGGGCTCTGTAGTCCTTTATGTTCCCCAGGCTACTACTATCTATATCCCTAGCACCCACATGTATCACCAGGAGTGGGTGATAGTCCGTGGGACTTACTAGAGCAAGCAGGCTCTCTGCCACATCCCTGATCCGTGTCCCTGGTAGGCAACACACCCCCCTTGAGATGGGGTCTGGCCGGCAGACGAGTGCTTCTGTGCCTTTCAAAGTAGAGTCCCCTACTACTATGACCTGCTGCTTTTTACTGGCAGCACCAGTAGAGATCTTCTTTACCAGTGCATCAGCCGGCTGTTTCTGGCGCGAGTGCGTTTCCTCATTAGCCCCCTGCAACACAGCAAAGCAGGGGGTTTAGGGGGAAGCCCCTTGCTTTTGATTGTCCTTTTCCTCCTTCTTTCTGTAGGTTTTTTTTTGTCACTAATTCCCAGCTTCCCAGGTTAACGGCTTCCTTCTTTCCTTCATGAGCTAGAGGGGAAGCTTGAGGTCCCTGCACAGTTTGGGCCTGGAGCAAGCATTCCTGCTTCCTCTCAGCTTCCCTGACGTCTCGCAGTCTATTAACAGCATCCCGCAGCTCAGCCCCTGCTGCAGGAGGACCTCCACCAGGGAGCCCCGAGTGCAGCCCTGCCCATTGTGCACCCTCCCCTCACCAGACCAGTGCAGGCACGCTCTACACCCCGAGCTCTGCCCTGCAGCCTCCCCTCTCATCGGCTCTGTCGGGGTGCCCAGGCTGGCCACCGCCGGGGCAGCCAGAGCAGAGCTCCCGGACCGGGCCCTGCTCATACGCCGAGCGCTCACCGTCCCGCTCGAACTGCCGCACAAACCGCCTCGACCCGCTCAGTTCGCCGCGCTCCCTGAGGCAGGTTTTTCCCCAGCCAGGGCTGGTGCCGCTGCTCCTGGCTCCGCTCCCTGTGAGTCAGCTGCTCGCTCTCGTCAGCTGAGCCGCCGGTTCCTGGGCAGGTCCTGTCGAGGACTTGAGGCTCCCTCGGTGGCTCTTGTCGCTCGGAGTTGAGGCTCCTGGGCGCTGATCTGCCCCCGCTCCGGTGTTGAAGGCGTCCTCTCTCGAGCTGCTCACCTCAGCAATTGGCAAACCTGGGCTGAAGAGCACCCTTGAAAGAATGTCTATGCTGTACTTCACCTTATGAAGCAATGAGTTTAAATAGGACTGGGCATGTTCTGTTTTGAAGCAGAAATTAGTGCATGACAGAAAAAAACCATGAAACCACTTTCTATAAACACTGCTAGAATAGCTTTCAATGTCTTAAATATGAATGATGTGCGGGGATGGCCCTTTGGAGACTGAAATAGATTACAAAAACTAGAAATCTACAATTCTGACCGTCACGGTGTTAAAGTAGTAATTTATTATACAAAAGATGGCATCCATTTATAGATAAAGTTTAAAAACCGAGTACCGTATAAATTTGACAAATAGCCAGCAAGTAACAAAATGAACAGGGAAACAGGAAATCATAGTGACAAGAGACAACTAGTACTAGAAAGGGAATTCCTATTAGGGAAGTTGAAATATCAGGTATCGCATTCTGACAGAGATCAGATATGAAAGTAGTCTCCAGCAGTGAAAGCCCCGTTATCTTTACAGCTCCAATTACATTGTAAGGCAGAGTGAAAATAAGCTGAGCAACCACAGAAAACCAAAACAAAACACGTAGATGTTGCCTGAATGGCTATGGCATGAAACAAAGATGAATACTCTGGCAATTATTTGCATCTGAAGACTCAAGACTCCAGAGACCAGGTATGCCAGTAACACTATAATAATGTACCCAACCTACTTGTTTTCAGCAGAAAGAGCAGAGAGTAGTTTACATTGAAATGTAGTGTAACACCCCCCCCCCCAAACAAAAACAACAAATCAAACAAACAAACAACCCCCCCCAAAAAAACCTTACCAAAACAAGATTTCAAAATATGCATCAGGATAGCTTTGCAATTAGCATTTACAAGTGTAAATTTCAATTCAGAGGATTGTTTGCAGTGCACAAAGACCACTGCAGTACTGTAGTAACGGGTCACTGTCTTACAGAAAGATGAAATAGCAATCTCAATCTGGGCAAAACATAAAACAGCAAGTGCAGCAATGCATATTAGTCACAATTATTTGCTTTGGCTATCAATTTTCAGGTATCTCTAAAAACTTCAATTTAGGTATCTCTTTAATTTTTTTTCCGCGAAAACTGTTTTAGATGTGGCTTTGCTTGGTAATTTCATTTACATTCCTCACTAGAAGAAAACCCAGGTTTGGGTAAATTTACTGAATCTCCATCCTCTTCTCAGTGGTTGAAGGCAAAGATACAGTTAATGTCTTACAACTCTCTGCTTATTAATTTGCTGAAATCTAATTGTAGGCAATGTACTTCATCTGCCTGAAACACTTAACACAAGTTATTATTTCCTTTCTGTGAAATTTTTGTGAATCACTTCTGAAACATTTCTATTTCTGTTTTTCTAAAGTACTAGTCTATTTTCTTAGAAACTGACAGAAAATAAACAATAAGTAACTTATACACCTTAAAGCCAACCATATCCAGGGAAGAATGAAAGTCAAAGAGCTTTAAAATGAATTCCAGCTTTTCCCTCCTGTGCATTGTGGAACTTCAAATAATAGCCTAAATTATGAGAAAAAAAAAATCTGCTTAAAACTTCCACACGCTAGCATCAACCAGAATGACTATCCACATTTTAACAATTATCTTTTTAAAATCAAGTCCATGATGTTAAGGAAAATTCAGTGGATGAGTTCAGAATACTGTGGATGAGCATTGTACTTGGGAAGGCTAAGTCTGCACACCACAGGAAATCCAGTGTAGTCATTTTCAGATACTTTGGTCTCACTGTTTTCAATCTGCAGGTCTTAGTCCAGTTTTTAAATGCTTAATCCAAGCATGAAATGCAAAAAAGAAACCAACTTTTACAAGTCTAACATAACTGGATTTGTATTGTATTGACTGAATAAGTTAAGATTTGGAAAAAAGGAAAGGGGGGAAACGTCTAATGTATGTGCTCAAATCCTGCTGCCTCAGGGAAATCTCATGTCTGTGCTTTGTTTTTTTTTAATACAAAAACTAAACAATTCAGAACTTTCTTCTACTGTTTAATGCTTGTAACAGGTCTTCAGAGGGTTTCTTTCGTTTTCTTCTTGCAGTTACAAGTTGTTTGGGGGGGGGGAGGGGTGGGCTTAAACCACAACGAATCATTATGAATGTGTTTAAGTCCTTAGAAACTTAATTCTTTTGCCAGAGAGGATACTGGCAAATGTGACAATTTATAAACACCAACTTTGGGAGTTTGATGTAGACTCTTCAGTTACTGTAATCAATAGCCAGATTTTCCTCGATTTCCTCAAGCACTGCCATTTCTTGAAGAACGCTTTCTTCAAGAAGTAGAAAAACTTAAAAGTCACTTCCCAATTAATTCTTCCTCAGCAAAGCTACCTTCCAGAACCCTGTATCTTCTACTGATACTTTCTTCAAAGCACTACATCAAATACACAAATGGTACTCTAATCAGGAACTGAGGATTTAACATTTGCAAAAAGAAATGCACTCTCAGATACGGCTGCATCTCCTTCAGACTGTGAAGAGTCTACTAAAAGCTTAGTCTTTATTTGTTTGAATTACAGACGATTTCATCTTCAGTAGATGTAGAAAGAGCCACATCCTCAGTTCTAGGACGTTTCGATGCTGGGGACTTTTGAAGGCTGTCATCAGATGGTAATGACCTCTCTGAAACAGAAGATAGCAAAATCATTAAGCTAAGTAAATGCAGATTGAGAAAGTAAATTGGTCTGCTGAACAATTCACCACCATTCACCAGAAAAAAATCCAACCAAAAGAAAAAAACCCCAACAACAAAAAAACCCCAAACACACACAAAAATAAAATCAAAAAAACAACCAACAAACAAAAAACCCAACATAAAAACCACACCAACCCAACCCCGGCCTGAGAGTCCAGCACATGAAACTATGGTGTGCTGAAAACTTAAGTCTTTAAAACTCACGTGTAGAACCTGGAGAACACTACAACCAAGTGAATTTACTCTCCTCAGTTTCAGTGTCATCTAATCATAGACTCATAAAATAGTTAGGGTGGAAAGGACATTAAGATCATCTAGTTCCAACCCCCCTGCCATGGGCAGGGACACCTTGCACTAAACCCTGCCACCCAAGACTCCATCCAGCCTGCCCTTGAACACTGCCAGGGATGGAGCATTCACAGCTTCTCTGGGCAACCCATTCCAGTGCCTCACCACCCTTATAGGAAAAAAACTTCTTCCTTATATCTAACCTAAACGTCCTCAGTTTAAGTTTGAACCCATTACCTCTTGTCCTGTCACTACAGTCTCTAATGAAAAGTCCCTCCCCAGCATCCTTGTAGGCCCCCTTCAGATACTGGGAGGCTGCTATGAGGTCTCCACGCAGCCTTCTCTTCTCCAGGCTAAACAGCCCCAACCTTCTCAGCCTGTCTTCATGCAGGATGTGTTCCAGCCCCCTTATCATCCCCATGGCCCTCCTCTGAACTTGCTCCAACAGCTCCAGGTCCTTTTTATGTTGAGGGCACCAGAACTGTACACAATACTCCAAGTGAGGTCTCACGAGAGCAGAGTAGAGGGGCAGGATCACCTCCTTCGACCTGCTGGTCACGCTCATTTTGATACAGCCCAGGATACAGTTGGCTTTCTGGGCTGCAAGTGTACACTGAAGCTGGATCATGTTCAGTTTCTCATCCACCAACACCCCCAAGTCCTTCTTTGCAGGGCTGCTCTGAATCTCTTCTCCACCCAATATGCAGGTGTGCCTGGAATTACCCAAAAACTGTAGTGACATACTGTCACGCAGCTGCCCAAGAGCAACCACAGTGAGAACACACCATATTATCAAAAGCTTTCAAATACTCCAGGGCAACAATGAAGCTTTAGAATCTGCAACTAGGTTTAGGTTTGTCTTGACTATGCTTGTGTTACAGGCTTATAAGTCTATAATAAAAAGAATGACTGGCAAAAGACTGCTGCGTATTAGTAGCCACAAATGCAAATAACAGAACTTACCATGTTCTTGTTCTGAGGAAGGAAGTATAGGAACTGCATCTGCAGGGGCTGGCGTATCTGCCTTCAGTGGAATCAAGTTTACTCTCCTTTAAAAGAGTAGCAACAGTTCAATCGCTTTAAAGGCATTATTTCCATAAATGATTTATTTAAAGGTTTACTTCATATAGAATCAGTTTAATTTAAATGTAGTTTAGATACATTATACCTTTTTTCCTCTTGCTATATGATAAATAGAACATTTTTCAGAAGTATTTTGAATACCACTAGTGATTCTTCTCATTAGAAAGTACTTTTGCATGTTTTATATGGCGCTCTGCTTGATATTCACCTTCAGAGCACAGTATCCTGGTCAAATATTTTAAAATTAAGACCGTCTGCACCTACTATTCCCTAGCCCTGTCCACTTTAGATTCATAAAACTGCATCTCTTTTGGATGGCACTTAAAAATTAAGCACAAAAGTGGCAGAGGATTGAACCATTAAAAAAAAAAGAAAAAAAAAGCCTTGCAAGTAACACCATACATTCCAGTACAAGATGACACTCATGGCACAATCAGTTGATAGGATTAAATATCGTTTCTCTCTCTTAAAATGGTTAGCTCCATTAGTCACCCCACCCTCCAGGAAAAAAAGTTGCTTAGATCTACCTACAGCCCTTTGACTTGTTAGTTCCAGTACAGATGAACACTGCTGTGTAGAAAGCCATCATCTCCAAGATTTTCCTTGCAGCTGTTGATGAAATCCACTATTCTGCTTTCTTGTTCACCACTTCCTCTCTAGCCACCTACTAATTAAAACATTCCTATGAGAAGCTACAATAATCTCCTTCAACACTAAAATAGCCTTGTTTTGCATGTCTGTCCCCTCACTGATGCACACCAGTTCAGGGTCTTACATTGCAGGCTGTTTGACAATCAGTACACGGATTACAAGTAATTTCTAAAAACCTAGGAAGTGACCTCAATCAATACATGAAGTCCCACACCCATGACTGAGTACACTGAGGGACTGTTTAGACTTGCACTCTTCATAAAATATTTCCTGTCAGAAGAGTCTTTAAATGATTCTCATCAACTGAACACTTCAGGTACCATCCTCATACTGAAAATGGAACCTGAAGACAGACACCTGTTACTGCCATATGGACAGGGCATAAGGGTCAGGTTAACTTTGCTACTAGGATTCAGGAGACATTTTGACCTTCCAGTTGCAATACAACTGGAACAAAAAATACCATGTCAAGAAAGCTACCACCAAGACACCATCTCAACCTTTAAATGTAGCACAAGCACAGCTTGTCTCAGCCTTCATATTTATAACTGGAAACGGCAATATAAATCTCACCTTGGAGTCCTGCTCCATGCTTGTAAAGTGTTGAGAGTAATTCTCCTGGGCTGGTTTGCTTTAGCGCTCTGGCTGGCTGACTGGCCGATTTTCCTCTCATCTGGGGATGAGACTGGAATGTTTTTTACGACAACAGGTGTGGAAGGCAAGTCCTTACCAGCAGCTGTGGGTGTTCTAGGTTGGAGAGTGACAGTGCTGGGATCAGTGACCCTGCTGGGAGTCATTGCTTCTGTCAGTCTAGAACCTGGGGAAATGACTTTGTGTGGCTGGCTCTTTTTCACTTTCTTCTCTGTTACACCAGAAGTCCTGACATTTATCTGTGGCTTCTCCTTCAGTGGTATTCCAAGTTCATCCTTCTCAAAGGTAACAAATGAACAGTATCCATCCATGGAGGAGATAGCAAGAAAGGCTCCATCGCTGGACCTATTTGGGATTTTTTTTTGCCATTAAGAGTAAAGGTCAGAAATTTCCTTCAGTCCTCATCCCTGCACCTGTAACACATGCTGTACCTGTCTTTTCCTCCCCCCATCCCCAAATACATGCATACATTTTAATAAAACTGCAGTCAAGTGAAAGACATCCAATTCAACTGAACAAAGATCTTCAATTCTGGCTTTTGCCTGTGATCTAATCTCTCTGGTGTCATCTGTGAGCACCTGTAACATGCTGCTGCCAGCACCTGTATGCACAGGTACACAAATCTTTAGTCACGGTTTCTGAAATACTGCTGAACTGTTCTCTTCAGACCAGCAGAGCAATTCAAGCTCTTTGGCTCTGCTCCTAGCACTAAGGAGAGGCAATGCTCAAATCACCATGGTGCTCACCTGAATGGGCTCTTCTTGCTTATTTCACCAAGCAATGTCTATCACCGATTACAACCACTTGATTTTCTGTTCTCTTCCACTGCCCCTTTCCTGACACACCATGATTTTGACAGTGTTGAGCATCAATTAGAACTCTGAAAGAGAGGCCTCCGTGTGGTCCTCAGCTTACTTATACTGGCTGGGAAGGCATGAGAAAAGAAGCCTTCTCCAGCAGAGGGGTGTGTCCTGATTATAAGACTGGTTCAATTTTCAGCTTCAGTTCTGATCTGCCACATCAAGTCAGATGAATTATTTCATCCATTAAATGAATAACCACTGAGCAGAACTGTCCTGATAAAGCAGAATTTGGCCAGGATACAGACACCTGAACTCAGAGAGATGACTTCCAAAACCTCCAAATAACTTTACTAATGCCAGTTACACTGCCTGAACAATGATTGCTTCCCATGAACACCTAGAACAATAGCTTTCATAAAAATTTCCATCTGCTTGTCCTCAGGATTTGCACCTTGCTTCTCAGCAGATAAAGAACCACAGTTCCCTGGTTTACAGGGAAAAAAAGAAGCAGCTTGCTCTTCACACACTGCAATGACAGTGACCACACGTGCATCATAAATTAAACAAAAATACAAGACACAAGATGCTGTGCAGAACTTCAACATACAAAAAGGACATTTCCCGCATCACAACAGATCTTAGGAATATAATAATTGCCTACCATGAAATGTCACTCAGGGTGTGATAATGTATGTTAGAAACATAACCAAAGGGGAAGGACTGCTCAGTATCATAAAAAAGCACAGAATCTTCTGAAGCAACAGCAAACACCAGTCGATAGGGCAGATCAAACAGAGCAGGAGACGATTTCTGACCAATTCCATCTAGAATGCAAAGGAATGAACACACTGAGAACTTTTTGCATTCATTGAAAGGTAGTAACTGCAGTAGCTTAGCCATGAACCTAAAGATTACATTATTAATCAGTATCAAGATAACAGCTCAGAAGACAGCACTTCTATAAAAAGTAAAGTTTAACGTCAAGTACTAACATTTCTCTTGTCTGAAGTTTTCCCTCTATTGTCTTAGCTGAAGAGAGAGAAATCAGCAGCTTTGTCCACGTGGATTCTTATTGCTTTGTTTTGTGAAGTTTGTCATATATATTCCAGCTGGAATTTTTCAGCATATTCACAACAACTTTAAGACTAAAGTCCAAACAAACACACCTCAGAATATAGTGTAAATCAAGGTCACAACAAATTTATACCGCTGTGTTATATTCTGTACAACTCAGTCAAAACAATGGATTTAGCACTATTTATGTTACCTTGGGTTCAGCTCCTAGCTAGTCTTTTTAAGGCCAGATTATTCCAGCTTTCAATGGAAGCTGCATGCTAGCTAGCTGCTTTCAGAAATTTCCAGTATATAGGGCTCCTGTTCAGTTCTATGATGATTATGGAAGCTATGCACTAAGGCCATTAACAGTAATATAACTTAAGGTTGTCGCATCTCTAGATTTCTAGGCTACCAAAAACTTTCACTTTTCTGAGTATACGTTGCAGAAACTAAGCATTCCATTTAGATGTGTCACAGAGGCCTACACCGGACACTCACCTCCTTTCTTTGCAACACACCATTACAACAAATCTAAAGATTATGATGAAAATAGAGAACACAACAACTGGTAATCTCTAAATCCTTTAAGGAATACCGGAAAATGATCCTGTAAAGAAAGACGCAAAGCTCTGCCTTTTGGTCAAAGACTAGTCTTCAAAATATAAACACTCCTGGACACACTGGACTCACAGTAAGGCTGGATTTCAATTTTCAGGTAAGTTTTCATGCAACTTCATACAATCCTTTCCCATCCTCAGAACTCCTGTTCTGGCCAAAAATACCAGCACTGCTTTGGGTTTGGCTTTCTTGAATAAACATTAATGGTTGTTGCAAACTACACTAACTCTCTGGTGCTTCTGTGATGTGGGTAGTTGAGACTAACAGAAAATATTTCAGCGGGTCACTCCTTTAGTGCTAAGCCAAGTTATTTACTTTTACTTAACACTAAACAGTAGAAGTTTAATATTAAGCAGTGTTAGTGTAGCCTAAGAGGCTAAGTAAGAACATTTATCCACTATATCAAAAGCTACTCACAAGGTACTTAAGGTGAAGTCAGCGTCTTAGAGTCAAGAAAAAGCTTCTAAGATGTGGTAAACACTATCTTAATGGAGTGTTAAAAGGCTAGGGTATAAAATAGTAAACAGCCACACTGGCCTCTTCACGTATTTGCTGCAAAATCATACTCCCTAAAGGATTTACAGTACCTTTATTAAATGCTCGTCTCAACTCAAAGTAGACTGGGCAGCAGCGAACAGCAAGAGTTGCTTTTCCAGGACATGGCAGGTGACCCACAGGCCTTTTATAAAGAATCAGTATTTTAAAAATCAACATTGCAATTTTATTTCTTATATAAAAAGATATTTTTCATCTTATTAATCTCTACCTTTTAAGATTGTTTCTGGAGAAAACATATGTGGTGTTTGTTACATTTTCTCCTGATTCAACACAGCCAGCTGCAAAAATAAAGGTTAAAACATTACTCATCTACTCAAAAGGGTACTGGGTACACACTTTATGTCCATAAATATTCTACTTCTCAGGAATTAGGCTTGTCAGCTGGGCAAGAGCTGTGCAACCTGAACACAACTTAAAAATATCCTAAATATTTATTTAGTGCTGTTTTTGTTTTCCTTACATAGTTTCCCCTCAAAGCTTCTTTTTGATGTTGTCAGACATCTATAAAAGCAATGCTTATATGGGAAAACTAATCCCCTCCTTGCAATGTTATTTTTACTATGACTGCAGTGCTCTTAAGAAAGGATACAAAGAGAGACCAGTCAAAAAGAACTACTCATTATTCTTCACTTCTCTTTTAACAGAGCTGTATTATTGCAATTTACATGTTTCAGTACAGAAAAATGCCATAAATATTATTTTTATCACAGCAGAAAGTTGACATTCTGAACTGCTAACAGAAGAGTATTGTGAAGGCTCTATTTTCTTCAATAAGAAGACTGAGGAATGGCTTAATTAAGATAAATAAGCTTTCCCTAGCAGTTTGAAACCAATCCTGATGTATGTTCGAACTAGAGCATAATGGACACAATGCAAGTTATAGTGTACGTTCTCACATACCTGGAGTGAGTAAATAGGAGCCATCAGGAGTAAAACTGAGCCTGCGGAAAAATGACTTCATGCTGTCATCGTGGAACATCCGATAGCTCCTAGCCTGTAACATTGAAAATAGATTGTGTAAAACGCCATGAATGTTTCAGCTGGAATTCAAGTGAGACAAACCATCCAGTTGTACAGTAACTCAACTGAACTTCTAAAATAAATGTTTTAAAAAACACTGGCTCCTTCAAACTCACTTTCTGCTGTGCTATAAATTCTTCACAGCTAAGAAAAATAGTTCTTGATCCCTTTTCAGCTACTAATCAAAACACCCTACAAGCAGTCACATTAGACCAGCGAGTAAAAAATAGTAGTGACCTGGAAAACAACATTTTTTAACAGTCAATGTAAAAGCCTGTTCCTTAAGCATTTAATTTTAACTCTAGTATTAGAGGTTTAAAGAGACCTTATATCAAAATGCTCTCTCTCAGGCCTGTTCTTCAGTCTCTATAACACTGTTACAAATGTTTTTTACAAAAAAGAGAAAAGGAATAGAAGGAATTTAAAAAGTTATAGCTAGCTTGGTGGTGTATTTTACTGTTACTTAAAACTGGTTTGGACAAAACAGCTCTTTGGTTTACCTCCTTGAGTAAGACAGAATTTCCTAAATTTTCCAGAGTTCATATTTTTCCTAAAAAATCCAACTACCTTTTTAAAAACTTCAGGCTGCTGATTTTAAAATACTATTGCTATATCATATCCATTAATAAACTTACAGCTTCTGCAAGACATATTTTAAGTTTTCCCCATAAGAATTCACTATACATACTATTTTTCCACGCTATTTTTAATATTTACAAAGACATTTTGTTACTACTTTAAACCACTGAACTTGCACAAGATCAATAGCAGCAGGCAGTGCACTTTCTGAGTCATTTCTGTAATGTTCCAGGAAACCTGTATCGGTCTCTATCTATAACATGCAAAAATGAGACAGAGACAAAAACGTCTGATATACAGATTACCTGAATGGAAAACATTTGTGCCTTTGGTTTCACAGAAAAGAACAACTCATATAAAACAGCACCCAACACGTTCTCCAGAACCATTAGTAGCAGAACAACGTACCTCTCCTTCAGCTCCTGATCCAGATACAATCTTGGTAATATTGAACGCTACACGCTTGGTCTGCGTGTTGTATACCCGCAGGACCCTACACAATAGAGAGTACAGTTAGTGAGGAACATCTTCCTTTCTCCCCAAATTTCACACAACACTGCAGGATCTCACTTCTCAGTCAGAACCGTCAAATATAAATGATAATCACACATCAATTATAACTGTTCATGAGACACTACCAGAGGGACATGTTTTGATGGCTAAATAATCAAGGCATTGCTAGCAATTATTTGACTCAATAAGGTTTGTGAAGTAGTGGCTTATGCATTCAGGGAGGAATGGGGAAATTAGGAGACAGTGAATTGCCACCCCATTCCTACCTCTGTTGTAATAGCCAGTATGTTTCTGCAGAGTGAAAACTCTCCTCAAAGACTATTAGCTACATCTCTATGCTTTGGTTTCCTTTGGAATAAATGTAAACTGGAGTACATCTCTGTACAGAACATTGGAACTCCCTGACTTCATCTCACTAAGACAGCAGGTAGCCTACGCGAATGCAACTGCTCGTCTCACCACCCCCTCTTTTCCGTCAGCTCTGACCTTCACTAAATTATGTTGGCTTGGCAGAAAACCAACCTAACACAAAAACTGGACAGCTTTCTGCCAACTTAATGTGCTGATACAGAAAGAATACTGTATAGAGTAAGGAATAGAAAATAGAAGGTAAGGCTGTGGCATGCAGCTTGAGACATTTGTGGAACTACCAGTTTCTGGATGTCACACAGATAAGCTGGTCTGGCAAAAGGGGGAAAAGGTCTCCCCAGCCTGGACTGATGAGTACCCAGACTTGGCAACTGGCCTGGCTCCTGTTAGATCCCCACTGAGCCAAAGCTATTCACTATCCTTGCACAGAAAAGCATCTGAAACCTCAAGAGGTGGGAAATCTCCCCTCTTCAGATTAGTTCTTGTCCTTGCTTGCAACTTCACTCCAAGACAAAAACTTGTGTATCATTCTATTATTTGTGTTTCACTGCTGTTCATTTTAACAAAAGCACAGAAATCTCAAGAGATTATTAGAGGACCAAGACTCATAATGACCTAGTTGGCATTAACGTACAATTTTTCTGACCCTATTGCAAATCTTACATCAAGACTACTTTTTTATTATTATAGCAATTTTCTTTGCATTGGGTGCCAGATGACATGCATTTATTAGACAGCTGTGAACCCCTTCAGAGCAGCACACATGCCCTAAACAGTTTAAGCTTATTTAAAGTTCTGATAAGGGCCAAGTTTATAATGTGCATGTTTAGATTTCCCAATGACATCACTTACAAAACTGTTGGGGATGAAGGGAGGGAGAGGGTGAAAGAAAGATACCAGTGGAAAACAATTTTAACTTATTTCTTAACCTGTTTATATCTTTCTGTAAAACAAGGATGAACTTATTAGCTCATTAACAACCAGAGAATGCAGCACTCTCTTAAGAAATATTTGGTATCTATAATGATCAAACTCATGAAAGCTTATTTTGTGAAGAAAAATTTCTACAGAAGTTTACACAATCTTATTTGCCGCTTAGAGACACCAGACTTCAGAAATCATTTACTGTAAGCAAAAGATGAACTAAATTACCATTTTACTTTCACATCAAATTTCTTCAGGAACAATCTGAATAAAACTAAAATAGAAGTCAGATTTATCCTGTACATTTGCTTTTAATTCATCCTCAAGTAAGAAAGAATACTAAGGCAAAACACATAGATCAATAGCTCACCTATCACAACTCAGAGTTGTAATGTACTGGCCTAGAGGATCCCATGTTATTCCTTGGACATAACTCTTGTGTTCATTTAATATTGAAACCTTCTGTCCTGCAATTACAAACAGTTTTCAGATTCTAAAATCAAATCTTTTTCAAAAGATTTCTTCATATCAAGAAAGAAAACAAAACATTTAAACATGTAGAGAAAACACTTTTTAAGGAAACTTTTAACTTGATAGCACCTGATATCAGAACTAGCTGCTTTATTTCTAGAATCTTCACAACTACAGTAAATTGTGAGATGCCAGTTTAAGGCTTGTTCCCTACAAACTTACTCACATAAGCAGTTTGGCTTAGGCCTTAAATAAGCAAGGTAAGTATATTTCAAAACAGAAGTATTTCAAAACCTTTGTCATTTAGTACCTCAAGGACTTAAGCCAGTGATGCTCTCTTTGTACTGAACAGCCCTATGGATTTTTACTATTAATTTTCTTCCAGCCATTTTTTAAAAAACCATGCAAGCTCTGAGCTTGGGTATTACTGGAAGCTATCCCTGAATCTCTTTCCTTTCATGTATAATACAATTTCCGATTACAGAGCCTACATTTTCCAGTAATGGATTCTTACTTCCAACTTCCTAGTTGTGTCTCTGCCTAGAAGACACAAAATGCCCTCTATGGCATTAGCTGCATGCTAAAAGAAAGCAGTGAGAATGGAAGACATTACACATAAATAACATACCAGCTTAAAAGGCTACTGAGCTTTTTTTAGTAATAATTCTAATAGATACGTGCCTTTAGTTGTTACAAGCAGTCTGAGAGGCAAGAGACATTTGGTCACAATGCCACTACACATATGATCTAAGCACACATTCTCTTAAGTGTATATTCATGTATTTATTAAAGACAATTGAAAAGGAGTATATGTAACTGTTTAGATGGGAGCAACATTAAACACCCAAACCAAGAACGCAGCATGTCAGCAGCGGAACATTGTATTTTCATGTGTGTGTGCACTGAAAAATTAACCTGGATTCTACTTTATTTTTCTTAATTAGACACTAAATAGTAGAAATATGAGAGAAAAGGTTAACTTCAGAGAAAGTTAAGTATTTTCACATTAAATTAAAAGTGAATGTAACAATAACACTGCTAATAAGAGAACATCAAGCCATCGTAAAGCAACCTAACCTAAGTGTTACTACCAGAACTTCTATAGACTGGCCTTTGTGGAAAATATAAGCAATCTCACTCCACTAGGATGAGAATGAATAGAATTGTTTTGCCTAATGTAGCCTAAAAAAATAAGTCATATTGTGTAAAACAAAGACTTCATCCTATACTCACTTCCCATTTTTTACATAGGGAGGTAGTTACCTGATGCCAGTCAAGTTTTATTTCTTTGTAGGGGCTTGGGGTGGAGTAACTAATATACAAGCTGCTTGTATAGGAGTTTATATTATTGTATTGTGTAGGAGTTTATTTTAGAGGGAAACTGGGTGGCTTATTTCCCAAATACTCCAAGGTGAAGAGATTACCTATGTGTAAGTTTTGCTGGCCTGACGATATGTCTGTATGTTAGGCTATCGGCCTCACAACCCTAGAAATATAGCAGTCACAAAAAAAAGGACACTTTCAACTCTTTTGGTAAATACCATCAGGCACTTCCACCAGGACTGAAGACACAGAAGTGATAAGATGTAGCATTTACCTTTATTGACATCCCACATTATAGCTGTGTTATCTACAGAAGCAGATGCCATGTAATTTCCATCTGAGGTCCAACAGATATCATACACATCTTCTAAGTGGCCTCTTGAAGGCAGAAGAGAAGAAACCAATTTTTAACCAAAAAATTAACAGCTACATGTAAACATGAGTTTTATGCATTTTTAGGTTAAAAGCAATCAGAGGCAAACGAAGCACCACTGAAGTAAAATGAACATCATGACCTTCAGCTTTTAAAAAGTGCTTCCACATGCAGAAGGTAGAAGAACATTTTAAAAAAGCACATCCTACTATTTAAAATAAGCCTGCCTTTTAAACAGGTCTTTTTCAAAGATAATGAAAACCCCATATTTGAAGTTATTTATGAATTTATATCTACAGATCCAGAAACAAACATTGCTAGGATTTGTACAAACAGAAGATAAAATACTACACCAAAGCAATTAGGAAATGCTGCTACTCAAGAAAATTTCCTGCATTTTTATGGGTTTCATAAAAGCAGTAAACAAACATTCATACTCAGTGGAATCATGTGAAACATGGAAAGTTAAGATTAATTTAGATACAGTTGAGCAAACGTTGCAACATATTCAGAAGCACCCAGAAGGGCTCCATCCAAACAATTTTTATTTCTTGTCATTTGAAGACTTATCATGCAGTACGGTAACTTCAATAATAAATATTTGGAACACTAAGTTTAGAGAAGGGGGACTAGGTTTGTTTGCTTTAAGAGATTAACTCTAATGTTCCTAAAGGATCACACTGGTGCTTCAAGCAATCCCACTAGCACTTTCAAAATTACTCTCACGTAAACCTCAGCAGTTGCTATGAAAATATCAGTTGTGGATAGCAGAGTTACTTATAAATCTGTAATGATTTTATCAGTATAGACAGGTACAGAACAAACCTTTTAACAGATACTACACAGAAAGTAAGGCAGTGTCATACATACTGCTCATTCAAAATGCATTTCTGAGTCCAGAACCACTAATTTCTTTCAGACTTACCTGAGAGTGAGAACAGAACACTCTCGTAATTCACCTGCCAATGCTGGTTTGATGCCTTACCGTTATCAGCTAATAATTAGTCTTAGGCACAGTGTGTATATTCTATTAATCATCGTACACTTGCAACAGAAGCTGTATAATGCAGTAGATTTAACTACTAATGTGAATTAGTTGAAAAACTAGTCAACCCTCACAGCTACCATCTGGCAAAATTTCATGAATCATCTGACACTTTTTGCTTTAATAATGATCAAAATTTCCACTATAAAGCTAGTAAATAAAACTCCACATTTATTTTATATATCTCTGTGCTAAGCTTTCAGTGACTGTAACCCTCAGGAACCAATTTCAAAGCGCATCAGTTATGTCACACAAATGCCAACTCTGCCTTAAGAGAAGACAGAGGTTGGTGCTCTATCAAAAAAAATAAAAGTTAAATACAATAAAAGGATGAGTATTACAGCAAGAAAATTTTAGAGGGCACTGAAGTTCTACATCCACTGAAGAGAAGTCTGTACCAGATGATAAAAGCCACTGGAGAATCAAAAACACTGAATAGAAAAACTAATAAAATATTAAATTACCTTAAAGTTTTAACGACTGCCCAGTTCTCTTTGTTGAGCTGAGCTTCATCCTCTTCCTGAAAAACCAATGGTTCCAATTCTTTGCTATCATTCAGCTTCCACAATAAAATAACAGCATCTGTAGAAGAAATCATACAGAGCTTCTTTCTTTCCCAGTCACCATTTCATTAATGCATTAGATTTAGTTCAACATTACAATTCTCTCACATAAGACACATGAAAAGCAGTTCTCACCATCTCCTCCAGATGCTAGGATCTCACCACTTGGAGAGAAGCGCACAACATTTACTGCTTTTGTATGGCGGGCAAGGTTGGATAAGAATTCCACAATTGCTTTTCCATCTGGTCCTTTTTCCACTTTCCATATCTAGTTAAAGAAGCATTACAAATAGTTTTCAGGAACAAGATGTAACATATATGCACTACATTAATCCACAATTTATTCCTTGGGTAGTCTTTCTGAACTTGTCTGAAACTTTCATAGCTAAAGCTGCAGCTGAACCACAAATTTTCCCTCTATGAGCTACAGCTGTGTACTAGGTGTATATGACAAGGTTTTGATACATGGGGGAGGCTTCAGAGGTGAGTTCTAGCCAGCTCAAAGACAACACCTTTGTTCCACAGAGATGGCACCTCTGCGATAACATATTTAAGGAAGGGTGAAAAGCACTGCACAACAGCTGTGAGAAAAGAGCAAGAAAAATGTGAGAGAAATAGCTCTGTAAACACCAAGGTCAGAGAAGGAGGGGAGGAGGTGCTCCAGGTGCTGGAGCTGAGATGCCCCTGCTGCCGCTGGAGACCATGGCAACAGAAGCTGTCCACCTGCAGCCTATGGAAGTCCCTAGAGGAGCAGATATCCATACTGCAGCTTGTGGACAACCCCATGCCAGAGCAGGTAGATGTGACCTGAAGGAAGCTGCAGCCTGAGGAAAGCCCACACTGTAGCAGGCTACCAGGAGGAGCTGTGGCATGTGAAGAGAAACCCACACTGCAACAGGTTTGCTGGTAGGACCTGGGACCCCATGGGGGACCCATGCCAGAGCAGCCTGTTCCCGAAGGACTGCTCCCTGTGGAAAGGACCCACACCGGAGCAGTTAATGAAGAACAGCAGCCTGTGGGAAGGACCCATGCTGGAAAAGGTTATGGAGGACTGTGTCCATGGGAGGGACCCCATGCTGGAGCAGGGGAAGAGTGTGAGAAGTACACCCCGGAGGAGGAAACAGAAGAGGGGACAACGTGTGATGAATTGACCACAGCCCCATTCCCCACCTCCGTGTTGCTCAGAGGGAAGAGGCAGAGTCAGGAGTGAAGCTGAACCTGGAAGAAGGGGAGAGATGATGGGAAGGCATTTTTAGTTTTGTTCTTATTTCTCACTACCCTACTCTGCTAAGAATTCGCAATAAATTAAATTTATTTTCCTAAGCTGAGTCTGTTTCACCCATGATAGTAATTAGCAAGTGATCTCCCTGTCCTTACCTTGACCCATTGTATCACTCCCCCAATCCTCTTGAGGAAGGGGAGTGACAGAGCAGCTCGGTGGACACCTGGTGGCCAGCCAAGGTCAACCACCACAAGCTGTAATTATATTGCAGGTTTTTTTAGTGTGATGAAATATATATTACTGAGTATTTTCAATAAATTGAAAAAAAACCAAACAAAACAACAATCCAACAACAGACAACCAAACACCTAGTATCACTGTCTTCATTCATCAACAGTCTCTAGCTTCAAAGGTATCTGACAAGCCTATAAATATATTGTAATTCCATGCTATTGAATCATTGTATTATTAACAGATCTGTCAACCACAAATTGTAACAGTCTGAAAAAAGAAACCCTGATTACTACAGGAGAAAAACACATTAGCTCTCTTCAGAAATCTGAGCTTTGCAGTATATCACAAAGGCCAATAGATTTACTGGTTTCAAACAGATTTGAGCAAGAATTATAATTCCAGTTCCCCACTGATCATAACAACAGCATTATGACAGTTTCATATACAGACACTTTTCCAGCAATGCTGGCTTAAGAATTCCTGATCCCACTTGTTCTCAATTTTGCAGGGCATAATAATGCCACTCCTACTGCTCTACTTGGGCACTGGTTCAGACATGAGATCAGCACTGTTATGCCTCTGTATTGTGGGACTAAGGCACAGATAACTAAATCCCATTAGGTGTTTCAAATAATCTACTCTTGGATGCAGCCTCAGACGCGTAAAACAAACCAAGACAGAAAACAACCTATCAATTAGGCTATGGTAGGAATATACCAAACAATGAAATAGCATGAATTAAAACCTCTGTAACTTTTGCCAGTTTTCCCTCTTCATACAGTGGTCCTCCAAAAGAAGATACAGCAGCAGAATTTTTCATGTCTAAGATGACTGAAAATTTTCAGGCCCTAAAATATGTCTAAGTATGAATATATACTCAGTAAATTACATATAGCCAAAATCCCTGAAATGCATACAGCACCAGTTAAGAAGTCAATTTGCCAGTGAGGGAAGAAAAAATTTTGGCTGCATCTACTGGAATAACCCCCTAATTTTTAATCACATTTATCCTCTTTACCACCTCCAAAAAAAAAGAGGTATTGTAATCATGCACATATCACAGCAGTTATCATTTGTAATAATTTGCTAATATTTAAAAATACTTTAACAAATATTGGCATATTTGTGACCACTATGTCTACCTTCCATACAGAGAAGCTGTTAACTAAATAGACAAATAAATTCAATGTCTTTCTCTGCAAGGAAACTGTCTCACTTGGCCATTAACTTTATTTAAGGAGCTAACCAACATCCAGATAAAAAGAACATGCACTCAATTTCCCAAAGCTTACCAATCAGGGCTTTTACAGAAACCAACAGATCACTGGATGACGGGAAGTCCTTGCATTAAGAATTTGGAAGATAGTAAACAACTGCCTGATTTTGCAAAGGTGAATGCTACAGCCACATGTTTTAAAGCTTATGCTATTCAGCATTTTCATAAGTGATTCTCGAAAGCATGAACAACTGATTACAAAGTTTGCTAGCACCAACACAAATTCACTTAGCAGAGGTGCATTTGAAGCTGAGTGAAAAGGGCTATAGAAAGACCTCATACTGCTGAGTGGCTACTTCTAAAATGCCAGATAGAACTCAAATTTGATGCCCAAAGAAAGAGATTAAACCCAGTTGTTTCTCACTACACATTAGCAGTTTCTACTGAGAGTTATCATCCAAAAATCAACTAAGGCAGTTTTCTAAGAATAACAATGCAACACTCAGAAGCAGAACTCAAGGACAGTATGCAAGGATAACAGGAATCTCCTATGCAGCTGTACAATCTCACACTCTCCTTAAACCATTCACAGCCAGCGTCATGCACTGGTCAACAGCCTAATGTCTTGGATAACCAGCCATTTCACGCTCTGCACAAGCTATAGAACCAAACCAAACGGGTTTAAAACTTACCCGAACGGCTGTGTCCACACCTGCTGAGGCCAGTCGATTGATCTTCCCATCAGCTCCGTGCTGGAAGTCCAAGCTGTAAACAGGCTCCTTATTATGCCACACTATTTCACAAGTGATGACCTTCATGTTTGCTAAAGAAAACAGAGTAAACGCCAAATAAAGCCTTGTTTTTTTATGACTAACTCAATCAAAGTTAATTCAGATTTGGCAAGCGCCGCACACAGATCCCGTGACAATTTCACAGTGGAAACTGACAGGATGGTTTAAGTTAGATAATTTCTAAGTGCTAAAATCTATTACGGCTACAGTTATTGCCTAAGCACCGCGTGAGCATAACCAACCGCGTGTCCCAGCGGAATCAAACATTGTGACTGACGCGTGGGACAGAGTTACAATGAAAGCTCACCGGGGGCACACACCACAGCTTGCCGCTTTCAGCGCCGGAGGGAGCCCGCCCTGCTCCGGGCAGCGCCAGGCGGGACCGGCACTGCGCACATCCTCTTGCCCTCGTAGTACCGCGGCGGTGCAAGCAGCGCTGCACCAAGCAGTCAGGATCACGGAGAGGCGGGAAGGCTCGGGGGGGGGGGGGGGGCAGCGGGAAAGCAGTGGCGCCGCTGCCCACATCCCTACCTCGCGGCCTGGCAGTCGCTCCCTGGGCAGCACCGCACCAAAGCCCCACGGGGCCGTAAAACTGCCGCCGGGGCTGGCGGTACCGGATGCCTGGGGAGGATGCGCCACACGAGACCCAGCGCCGCGAGCACCGAAGCTAACTCCCAGCTCTCTGCTCGCTCCCTTCCTGCCCCGGCTCCCCACAGCACAGCACCAGCCCTAGCCGCCACTAACGGCCGGGGAGGACGGAGGATGCCCCACACTCCCCAGTCCTACCTGCAGCGCCCTGCTGCCGGGCTGGGCTTCAGCGCTAGCGCCAGTTTCCCGCCCCGCGCCTGCGCGCGGCCTCCTCCCCGCTGGCTGCGAGGAGCGTCAGGAGGCCGGCAGCGCCCCCTGGCGGAGGCGGCTGCAAGGCGGCGCCTCAGCCGGCCCAGCCGCGGCCGTCGCCGTCGTGGCGTGTCGCGTTATGTCTCTATATTGCTCTATTCGAGATGTTTTTACATTTAGGCTGGTTAAAGGGCAACCAGTCCCCAAAATCGCCGTTTCTGTCAAATGCAAACCTTTCAGTGTGAAGTAATAATAAAGAAATTACATCCTTAGAAACCAAGGCAGCCAGGATTGCCATGCAAGCACAGCTAGGCTAGAAGCCAGGACAGTGCAAGGCCTCGTGCTGAAGCACGGAATCAAACCCTGCAACTCAGAGAGAGTTATAAAGCAGGTATGTTTATTACAGCGCCGGGTACAAGGGGGATTGCTCCTCCTAACTTGCACACCGAGGGGTTAAGCAAGCAGATATTTATTACACACAAACATGCATATTCATTAGGTTCCCAAGAGTTCGGCAGGGATAATACAGTTAGTTTAGGTACTCATAAGTCTCCTCGCTTTTGGCGCTTGTACACTGCCCTCCGATGGTCGTGGGCAGGGGTCTTCAAGATGAAGTAAGCAGTCTTCCTCAGGGTGCACTTTTCACCTTTGGCACAGTTGGATGCCCCAGTAATCACAAATTAGCTGAAACCAGCCATATCTGCAAGTTCCTGATAGCTGGTAAAGATTTAGAACGGTGTGACCTTTGTAACAGGGTAGGGCAGACAAGGAGTATCCTAAGCTAGCAGATGTTCAGGAGTCACCGTCTTCGAACTGATAATTAGAAGGATGGTAACTCATTAGAAGGATGGAAAGAAATAATGCACTCTTGTTAGTAAGACTACTAAATTCTGTTATCACACCACAGACTTACAACACAAACGTTGTTCTCTATCTTAGACCTAAGTTAAGTTAAAAGTATATTAACCCTATGTTTTCCAGGCACTTGCTTTCCTTTTATCAGTGCTTGACTTGAAATCTCACTTGCAGAGCAGGACACACAAAGGTAAACCATCATATTGAGCCCAGGAACTTGCCTGAAACTCGGTTAATGCACACCGCAAAACAGCACTGCTCTTTCCATACCCAGTGTCTTTTGGTGCAACCCTTTACACAATGCCACCTTGCAGACCACCATCTCTTATTAGTCAGCTGTATTGGACAGTCAACTAGTGGTCAGGGAAGAATGGTCTGCCTCAGCCCCCCAAAACCCCCCAAAAATACCTGAAAGCCCTCAGTCTCCCATGCTGGGGAATCAAACAACTTGCCTAAATGTAAAATTTCATGAGAGCCAAGCCAACCTGAGCCAAGCACCTGAAGTAGGGGGTCCCACCTCCCTGTTGTGTTCCTGTCACTTCTGCCTCAGCACCAGGACAATAGCTCTCTAACAAGGCTTTTGTGAAATACAAACTCACTCTCCTAATCAAGATAACAGGATTTTATTGAGAGACAAATCAATAAATCAAAAGCAACAGTGCCGGGCACGTGAGAGTAGCCAGAGGCACACTGATTAGCATTTGTTACAGATTTATATACTTTAACTATTGCATTAGCCATACACATATTCATAATTCCCACGTATAGGCAGGTAATATTATAACTAGCTCCAGGAACTTATAAGTTTCCTCTTAGTACCTGTGCACTGCTCTCCAGTGATCATGGGCAGGGGTCTTGAGGATGAACTAAGCAGTCTTCCTCACGTGGGCAGGGGTCTTCAAGATGAAGTAAGCAGTCTTCCTCGCAGTGTACTTTTCACCTTTGGCACAGCTGGATGCCCCAGTAATCACAAAACTAGCTGAAACCAGCCATATCTGTAATTTCCTGATAGCTGGCGAAGTTATAGAACAGTGTGACCTTCATACAAAATTTATCGCAAGCAAAACAGGATGGGCAGATGAGTATCCCAAGCTAGCAGATGCTCTGGAGGCACTGTCTCCAAACTAACTGGTAAGTAGAAGGATGGTGTGAAATAATTCACTCATGTTTAGTGGGGCCACTAAATCCTGTCATCTCACCACACACTTAAAACACAAACATTGTTCTTTATCTTCAACCTAAGTTAAGCTAAAAGTACTTTAACCCTGTTTTCCAGGCACTAGATTTCCTCATATCAAGTCTGCCCAGTCCCATCCCCCCCATCCCCCCCCCCCCCCCCCTTTCTTTTACCTTTACAAATTCTTTTGCTATGTGACTCCATTTTGCTCAAGAGTTCTGGCCATTTTCAACTTGTCTAAACTTGTGTCTTTAGTGAGCTTTGTTTCTGTTATTGCGAACTCACAGAGTTATATCCACATAGCAACACCTATGATTTGCAAAAGCCAAAACATTTATGTGTTTATCACACTCTGAAACACAGAGTCCCAAATCCTAGTTGAGGAACAGTCTTGTAACTGAGCACCTGAAGAGGTGCAGGCAGGCAGTGAGCTGCTCTGGGGCCCGGTCAGGACCAAGCATACCAAGTGTGCTTGCATCTTCGGCTCAAAACCAGACTGAGCCAGCCTTCTCTTAAGACCAAATACTTAAAATAAGCCCGAAACATTGGCTATTCTGCATAGTCTTTATTTATAAACAAAACCATTGCATTTGATCACATACCAGCTTTGATCCTGCAAACTCAGGTTTATATGTTGTTTTTATTTTTATATTTTACAAAAAATACATTTTAACAAGTAAATAAAAAACATTTCCATTAGTCCACTGCTCTCCAAATGTAAATGTACAGTGTAAATCTGCCATTTTAAATATAGACATATGCTATATTTTGCCAACTGTCTACAAGAAATTCAACTGCAGAATCTGATGAAGCATAATAAATAATGATTAAAAGGAAAACAAAAACTTTTAAAAAGTCATACAAAGTTATATTACATCCACCTCTTCAAAAATCAAACATTCAATTCATCCTTTATAAACCACAACAGTATTGCATTACCCTTATTGACATTGTAGAACAGCGAGCATCTTAAAACTGAAATACTGTCCATAGCAAGAAACTGACTGAACCACAACTAAAAGGAACAAAATTGAATTAAAACAGGACAGTAGCAGCGCGAAAGCTGAAAACCTTGGGTTTATAAAAAAGACTCCCTAGAAATGAGCATATTGAACACTATCTCATAATTAATTTTTTTTTTTTTTTTAAGCAAGAACCATTTTTTCTTGATTACTGTTTGGATGACAAATACCATCACATAGTAAAAGGTGGATTTGCTGTCTTTGCCACCTTTCTTCTCATTCCTGATGACTTCAAAAGAAAAGCATGCAACTGACTGAAAATACAGTCACTACTGTAACAGCAACTTCTCTTGGTACCACTTCTTCCCGCTTCCTGGGCAGTTTTTGCATGAGCACTACGGTACACATCTGGACTTATGAACCAGCCCTCCTGCATTCTAATGGGAGCTACAGGTACAACCGAAAATCCCTGTGACTGCGCTCAAATAGGCAAGCTCTTGGATGTAGAAAACAACAATCATATAGCAGGGGCGGGACACAAACAGGCGTGTGGTTTCCATCACTGAAACAGCTGAAATATCCTAGCCATATCCCATGGAGTTGTTTATGCTGCAAAGCTATGTACAGGTAATGTTCTTTAGTGACATCAAAGTCTAGAAGGGAGCTAAATATCACCCGTGCTCAGGATAAAACCCTTACAGATTTTTTCTTGCTTTGGTAGTGAAACACAAATACTACCCATATGGCCAAAATTTTAATCTACTAGGTACATTTCCATCCGATTAATGCAACATAACGCAATGAAACAATACTGTAGTATACAAAAATGTTAGGAGGATTTGTTCTGAGACGAAAATCAAGGAAAGTTCTTTTTTGCATTTTCATATAGTCCACTACTTAGATCATCGAAGAGGAAGGAATTGCAAGTATTAATACTTATATAAGATCAAAAGTCAAAACACTTTTGCAGAAAAGTATTAAGATTCCTAATAATAAAAATAGTTGCAAATTTAATTAAAAATACATTTTAAAAGCAAAATCCTTAATTAAGTACATCAGTGTTGGTCAATATTGACAGTGTTCCTTTAAGAGGAAGCAAAGACAACACCCACCCAATGCATCTGTGGGAACATCTGAACGCAGACTATATACACTTACTGATCAAACTATGTCAAATATATAAAGCAGTATATACAATTTTGAACCTAAACAAAGGTTATAACGGAAGATCAAGCAAGAGTCTGCTAAAATCTTAAGATACTAAGTACTACTAATTTCATGCATTTGTTCTACAACTTGTCCTAAAATTTCATCTACTACATCAATATCGTAATTGACTTGCTGCAAGTCTAGATCAGGCATGATCGTAGCCAGAAGCTGTCCAACATTGACTCGAAGAGAACGTAGTTTCAGGCTGTGAAGAAATAATTAGATATGATTAGATGTAGTTTTATATTCAAATACGGAGTACCTTTTTAAACAAAGCTGGAACGGCTCCATACCTGAATTCCGTAAACAAAAAAGTGACACAGTTAAAGCTGCCTCAAGATAACTTCAAAATCTACCAGTTTTTCAAAGCTGAGCCTCTCTAATTTTAATTTTGAAGGTCTATATTCCCTTAGTTTCAAACAAGTACTAAAGGTGAAACTGAATTCTACCTTTCCCAAAAATAATCAGCAGTATTTCTGAATGGTTTTATTTAAGTTAGCAAAAAAATACTGGCACAATCCTTTATTCCACAACACCTTTTTATTTCTCAAAACAACACTAAAACCCCAGTAACTTTATACATTTAGAAGCACAAACTACTATCACCTATGGGAACAAGAGAAAAAGAAGAAAGAAGGTAGCAAGTAAGAGTAGTTTGTCAAAAGGCTTTAAAAGAAAGAGAAGGTAAGGTAAGAGTTACAGTACAGCTAAAATGTTATGTTTCCTCTTTCTGCTTTCTTTCCTGGATCCCCTTGTTCTGTCCTTTTCCTCACTGAATTGCTTCCAAATCACCCATCCCTTCTCTTGAGCATTCCTTTCTACCACCAGTTCTTCCATCCCCTCCAGTAGCCAGTCTTATCCCAAAAGGACTTGTGGTGGAAACTACTTAAAAGTGCTACATATATTTACTAATTCTTTTAGGAAGCACAAGTCAGCTGCTTTAAGAAGAAAATTAAATGCTGGCAGAGAAAGGGGAGATTTATTTGCTCATAATAAAAAATAAGATTTAAAGGACTGTGTGGAAAATGCCCAGTCCATTACCCCCCAACATACTTTCAAAGCAGAGCTAACTCAGATCAGGTTGCTCAGGACCTTCTTGTGTTTTGAAAATGTCCAAATATGGAGATTTCATAGTCTTCCTGGGCCCCTTTCTCCGGATTTGACTACCCTTCTGTTAACACTTTTTTCTCTCAAATATTTGAACAGGATTTCCCTTATCACATATTGTGACTGTTGCCTCTCATCCTATCACTAAGAAGAGGCTAGCTTCATCTTTTCTGTATCCCCTCATGAAGCAGCAGAAGAGAGCAATAGGATTTCAAGGTAACCTACTCTGTGTAAGGCTATTTCCCTCAGCTTCCCCTTCTATATAATATGCTCCAGACCCTTACCCATCTTGGTGGCCCTTCAGTAGGCTGGTCCAATATGCCAGCTGCTCCAATATGCCAGTGCCATTCATATTTCAGGGAGCCCAAAACAGGGAATACTGTGCCCAGTTTGGTCTCACAGTGCCCAACAGCAGGGAAGAATCACTTCCCTCAAACTGCTGGCTCAACTCTTGCCAATATAGCCCAATAGGCACTCAGATTTCCCACCCCAAGAGTGCACTGCCAACTCACATTGAACTTTTAGTTACTAGCATCACAGGCCATCTTCTTCCAAGTTGCTTTCCTATGGGCAGTCTCTAGCTTGTTTAGTTGCATGGGGTATTTCCAACACAGGTGCAGAACTTCACAATTGCCTGTGTTGAATTTCCTGGAGGATTCTTTCAGCCCAGTTTTCCAATTTGTCAAGGTCCCTCAGCTGCAGCCTTACATATCAATCGCTCCTTACAATTTGATGTCTTTGTGAATTTACTGAGTTAATTTTGCTCCCTCATCTAGGTCATTAATAATCACTGGCCTTGATATTGATCCATGAGATCAGCAGTCCAGCCACCTTTACAACCCACCTCCTAGTTTACCTATCTAAAACCATACCTCACAAACTTTTCTATCATGGCATTATGGCAGCCCACACTGAAAGCTTTGCTAAAATGAAGGTCTGCAGAGGTGGTCATCTCACTGTGAACAGCAATGAGGTTGCAAAGTCATAATATGTCCTCACTAATCCATGCTGGTTGTTCCTAATCACCTTGACTATGATGGGGCTGCAGGTGGTTTCCAAGGTAGATTTGCTCCAGTCTTCCCAGGGGCTGAGGCTACACTGACCAGCTTGTAGATCTGCATGTCCAAAATACGGGCACGACAACTGCATTTTTCCAGGTATCAGGAACGTCCAACTGTCACCACCTTTTGGAGATATCATCACAAGGCCAGCTCTTCATCCACTCATCAGCTCCCTCTGGTACATCTCATCTGCTCCTATGGACTTCTGTATACTGAATTTGCTTAAATGGTTGCTTAATTCAGTCACCTTTTATTACAGGTAATGCTTCACTCCCTAAGATTATACTTGGCTTAGGGACCTCAGCAAGCAGACCTTACAAGTAAAAACCAAGATAAAGACAACACTGATTACCTCAGTAGTTTGTACCTCATGCACCTCATATCGTTGGCCACTAAGCACCTGCCCCACTGAGCAGCAGGTCCACACTGTTCTCCAATTGCTGATACTATGCTTACAGAAGCCCTTCTGGTTGCTCTTCCCAGGCCCTGCCTTTGCTTTGAATTCCACCCTACCTGCACAGGTAGCATACCTATATTCCTGCTGGTCTGCTCATCCATGCTTTCATCTATTATGTGTACTTTTTTTGTGTGTTTGCTATTTCTACTAACCAAGAGCTGCCAGCTCTTTTAAAAATAAGTTTAAACCCTTGTTTGGTTCAAAGATACACTGGACACAAACTAGTTCCAGAGAATTGGTCTGCAGTTAGAAGTTCTTACGGAAAAGCAAAAAGTAAGTTTCAAAACTATCCCCAAACTCTTTTCAGTAAAG